TTTGCACCCCCCTCCCTTGCACCCCTCCCCCTCAAACTTTCGATTTGCACCCCCCCCCTCATACTTTCGATTTGCACCCCCCTCATACTTTATATATATATACCGAAGGGTCTATGGGAGGGGGGTTATAACCCCCCTAACCCCCCTGCCTACGCCACTGCAGACACCACATGAGCAGCGCTGAAGTTAAGACGCGACAAAAACATCTGTGTATATCAGATACTCAAGGTCAGCCTATTAGGCGATGGGGTCAAGGTCAGACTACTGAGCAATATGGTCCCTCTACTCAAAGTCAGTCTAAGGGTGGTGGGGTCAAGGTCAGCCTACTGGGCGATGGGGTCAAGGCCAGTCTTCTGGGCGATGGGTTCGAGGTCAGACTACTGAGCGATGTGGCCCCTCACTCAAGGTCAGTCTACTGGACGTTGGGAAGTTTCTACTCAAGGTCAGACTACTGGGCGAAGGGCCCGTCTACTCAAGGTCGGTCTACTGGCCGATGGGGTCAAGGTCGGTCTACTGAGCGATGGGGCCCTGCCGTCTGGCGCAGGCCCAAGTGGCAAGTGTGGCGGCTATCAATAAATTGTTGTCGTATTGATTCGAGGAGACAGACCCCCAGTTTTCGTAACGCGTACTGTCTTGTTTAGCCTCTTTCATTGGCTATCTCGTTTAGCCACTTTCCTGAGCTGTCTTGTTTAGCCACTTTCCTGGGATAGCATTACGTACTGTAGCTTCCACTAGTTCTAGAAATTATCACTGGCTAACTTTTCGACCACTCAAAAAAAAAAAGAAATCCATGTTTTAAGTAGGAAATGGCACAGGGTAATAGGCAGAGGGGAGAGTGAATAGGATGAAAGAAGAAACTTCTAACAAGAAGAAAATGCTATTATGGGGAATTTTTTTTTTTTAATTGTAAACCTTCCGTAAGAATATTTAGTTTGGACTGTAATCGTCTCCTGGCCAGGTGATGACGTTGTGTTTTCGAGGAGGGGGTGTCCATGGTAGCACAAACTCGCTTTAGGAAGTAGGCACCGTCAGGCTGTTTTGACTGTTTTCACGAACATTTTTAGCTGAGTCAATGTCAGTCTTCGAGTTATTGTAAACAGCGTAACTAGCGAATATATATATATATATATATATATATATATATATATATATATATATATATCCTAAATATGTATATATAAAACATATAGCTCAAGGATGCCGACTGAATGTACCAAGACTAAGACATGTTTACAATTCCCAGCGAGATGGTAGATCTATATTTTACTCGACAGCATGAGATTTCAGCGTGGCAATAGAGCTGTTAGACCGCTACCACAAACTGGCTACCAAACGAAAACTGACAGTCGGCACCGAATGCCAATTGAATACGACTCTACAATTTCGGCACTGACTGCAACCAAGGGTGTGCTTGGTTTATCGCGAGGGTGGGGGGCGAGAGAGGAGGGGGGGGGGCGGGTTCTCTTAACTTGTCAATATGTGTTCGTAGATTTAGTGATGGAGAGAGAGAGGCACAGTAATGTCTAGACTTACTAGGTCGTCAAAGTTGTATGGCCAGGAAATTTGGGAGGTAATTTTCAATTTTAAAAAAAACCCAGTCGTAACAGGAACATGTCTGGATATGAAAAATGATGCAGAACTAATAGTGGAGTTCTAAGGGCAAAAATTTTCAATTACCAGTTCAACAAAGGTTTCGGACATTGCACATTTTTAAACAACAGTTACTTAAAATGGTACGGATACATGCATGTGTGGAAGTAATTTTATATTGAAATAATTCTTTTAAAGGAAATCACTTCAAAGTTGGGTATAGAACAATAATTTTATTCAATATTGATCAACAATTGTCAAATTAAATGAACAAAACACATAACACAAGAAGTTGGTTTAAAATTTGTACATTCTAGTCCAACAATCTTTTTGGACATTCTATTGAACAACTTTTTCGGTAGTCCTGGACACAGTTCTAGACCATTAGTTTGGTGGACACAGTCATAGACCATTAGTTCGGTGGACACAGTCATAGACCATTAGTTCGGTGGACACAGTCATAGACCATTAGTTCGGTGGACACAGTCATAGACCATTAGTTCGGTGGACACAGTCATAGACCATTAGTTTGGTGGACACAGTCATAGACACAGTTCTAGACCATTAGTTTGGTGGACACAGTCATAGACACAGCTCTAGACCATTAGTTTGGTGGACACAGTCATGGACACAGCTCTAGACCATTAGTTCGGTGGACACAGTCATAGACACAGTTCTAGACCATTAGTTCGGTGGACACAGTCATAGACACAGTTGTGGTCCATTATTTTGGTGGACACAGTCATAGACACAGTTGTGGATTATTAGTTCGGTGGACACAGTCATAGATACAGTCCTAGACCATTAGTTCGATGGACACAGTTGTGGATTATTAGTTCGGCGGACACAGTCATAGACACAGTCCTAGACCATTAGTTTGGTGGACACAGTCATAGACACAGTCATAGACACAGTTCTAGACCATTAGTTCGGTGGACAGTCATGGACACAGCTCTAGACCATTAGTTCGGTGGACACAGTCATAGACACAGTCCTAGACCATTAGTTCGGTGGACACAGTTGTGGACCATTAGTTTGGTGGACACAGTCATAGACACAGTTCTAGACCATTAGTTCGGTGGACACAGTCATGGACACAGCTCTAGACCATTAGTTTGGTGGACACAGTCATGGACACAGCTCTAGACCATTAGTTCGGTGGACAGTCATGGACCATTAGTTCGATGGACACAGCACTAGACCATTAGTTCGGTGGACACAGTCATAGACACAGTTGTGGATTATTAGTTCGATGGACACAGTCATGGACACAGCTCTAGACCATTAGTTCGGTGGACACAGTCATAGACACAGTTGTGGATTATTAGTTCGATGGACACAGTCATGGACACAGTTCTAGACCATTAGTTCGGTGGACACAAGTCATAGACACAGTTCTAGACCATTAGTTTGGTGGACACAGTCATAGACACAGTCCTAGACCATTAATTCGGTGGACAGTCATAGACACATCTCTAGACCATTAGTTCGGTGGACAGTTGTGGACCATTAGTTTGGTGGACACAGTCATAGACACAGTTGTGGACCATTAATTTGGTGGACAGTTGTGGACCATTAGTTTGGTAGACACAGTCATAGACACAGTTCTAGACCATTAGTACAAACCCTTAGACTTCTGACATGTGATACGGTAGAAGAAACATGAGTGCTGTGTGGTTGATCAAGGCTGACACAGTTTTATTAACTTTTATTCAGAATCAGATGAATTTTCTCATACACACTGAGATAACATTGAAAAGTTTAACACAAGATAAATATAAAATAACTTAATCGTGTATATTAACTTTAAAGCTGTTCCGATTGCAACATCTTTTTTTGCTTCACAGACTGGATAAAACTAGAACTGGTCATATTTTTAAATAGAAAGACAACATGGAATCAAAAAAGTTGGTCAAATTATACACATACACCAGTTATAGACAATTTCATTATCTGAACTTGGCATCAACACCATAGCTCTGCATTAGGTTTCACAAACTGTTTAAAATGTTGTTACTACAATGTATGTTGACGTTTGGAGATAAAATAAAAAGGACAATTCCATTTTTGTTTTGCTATACAAAATTGAAAAACGTACAAATTATTCTAGTTTGAATAAATGAAACTGCATCAAAACAAAAAATATATCAAATCTACTGACATCAAGGAAAACATATGAATATAATTAGTAATAGTGTTTAACCTATAGGAGAAGGTGGGAAAACAAAACTCCTGTGCAAAAGTGATCACCTAATGGATGACACCTACTCACCAAATGCATGACAGTAACTCAATCTTAAATGTTATTTAAAGTGATGTCAAAAAAGGGAGCTAATTTCTAAAAACACAATAAGTATGACAACTAATTAAAAACTTAAACAAATGCTGTGCAGCAGAATAGATCAAGATGTAATTTTATAACAACAGAGTTTCTTTTGCCAAAGTCATTTTTGAATATATTAACAAATGTTATGAAATAATAAATTGTAGATAGTAATCTTACTGAAATTTATAAAGTTTTGTAAAAAAATATTTAAATTAAGTTTTAAAATTAAGATAGATCATAAAGCTTAACATTTTAAAATTAAGATTTATAAATAGTGTTCAAAATTTAGACATTAAATTTAAAAAATGTATAGCATTGTAATCAGAATTTTAAAATCTACAATACTGTTTTATCGATGGAAAATATAAATCAGATTCAAGCAAATGTGCAGAGTTTGTTTATATTGTTTTAAGTAATAAAGTAACAGTATGAGAAAATAAAATAACACAAGAAAAACCTGAAATCAACAGAAACAGATCTACATTGTTTAAAAAAGATCCATTCTGCATGATTAAAACTCATATTTAAAAGTAGATAATCTCACCAAAATATTAAACTGTGTCATTCATACATTATTTTACATTTACATCTTAAAATTATAATATCTTAACATCATGGGTTTTTTTTTTTTTTTTTTTGAACAAAAAAAAATCACAAATGCCTTTAATATTTCAGCATTCATTTTCTTATTAAAAAAATGTTTGCCATGGAATTACATTGCTTATTTTCAACAGATTTCCAATTAATCCAACAAGTTGAAAGTTAAATTAATTTGCAAGTGTGAATGAGCTATCAATTTTTCTGAATGATGGTGCTATTTGCTGCTATTAAATGCTTTATCACTTGACGATAGCATAGATGAAAAACAATCAAGTTTCAGCATGTTTTACTAAAGCTTTTAGTTACAAAATAAGTAGGCACACTATTTATATTTATATATATTGTATACACACACACAAAAAAACCCATCCCGATAGCACAGTTATTTAATTCAACATTTATCAAAATTAAACAATAAATAAAACAATCAAACATCCGGAACTGAGTATTCTATAATATCAAAAAGACTAGTGCTAAAAATTTTAGTTTTTGAAACCATCTAAATATGTATAATTTTTGCATTTAATTAAAGTTGCATTAAAGTTAGCATTAAAAAGAATTTTCTAAATAATGGAAAGAAGTTCCTTTTAGCCCATAATTTATTGACACTTCCACAAAATTAAAATGACTGTGTTTATAAAATAGAGTTTACAAAGGCAAAGATTAACAAATGAAAAAGTAAAAACTGTTTTTTAAAAGGATTTCAGAATAATTAAAAAATATTATTTAACATGGCAAAAATTGTCCGTATTCATCGTATTACAAAATATCTTTCACAGATGCAATAAAAACCCTTGATCTTTCAAAATTCTCAAGTATTATTTAACATTTAAGTATTTGTTTCTATTACTGAATTGCTGCTACAAAAATAAAAAAATAATTATAGCCTGAAGTGGGCCTACACATGATAACTTTGTTGCCTATCAAAACTCACGGATTGAAATAAATTTTATTAGAATGTCAAAATAAAAATTAAATATGTCAATACATTTACAAACTTAAACATGACATCCTTATGATGGTGATTTAAAAATTACGACCAATACAGGCAATAAAGGACAGATTTTTGAGGATGCTGTAAATAGATGCTGATTTATGTTTGCTACATCAAGCAAAAAAAAAAATTATACTTTTTATAGAGAATAAATAAAGCCACAAGTGGGCCTACACATGTTTAAATATTCATTTTGCTGCCATTCAAAACTGATTTTAAAAAAATTAGAAGTAGAATGTCAAAACAGCAAAACATATCAATGAATCTGGAAACTTAAACATTACATCCATTTGGAAACATAAACATGACATTCATTTAATGGTGCTTAAAGGATAAAATAACTAATACAGGCAATAAAGTAAAGTTTTTTGAGGACGCTATAAGTAAGTGCTGATTTGTTGGTTTGTTATACCAAACAAATACCACCAAACATGAACAACAATAATGATAGAATTTGAATAAACCAAAAAGTCAAAATACTGTTTAGAAACAAGATTTTTAAAAATTCAACAAAAAAAAAGGACAAAAGTCTTAACAAAAGCCAAAATTGAAAGGAAGTTGTTTAAATATTGTGTATAGAATAGGTATCACATTTTCAAACAAAAGGCATTTATATAATAGGCAGCACAGGGAAATATAAATCACTCATTATGTTTTCTCTTTCCGAGTTTTCTTTTCACTGTAGGAGCAGAGTCCTCACTTTCCATATCTTCTCCTTCAGGAATATTGACATTAACCTGTGTTGTCTCCCCTTCCTCTTCATTCTCACCATCACTACTGAGCTTTTCACCTTCAGAGAGCTGTGCACCATCCAGCTTAAATTTCTTGGCACCACACAAAGTCCGTCGCATGACAGTGGACCTATCTGTGTCTGATGTGGATGGGCCGGATGAAGTCTGGCTCTGAGTCTGGCTTTGTGCGGCAGGGGACCTAGCTGAGCCAGCCGAGTTTGATGTCACTGGTCTTAACCAATGGTTGCGACGAGGCGTCAAAAGTAATCCGGTCATATTACGATATCCTGACAATAGCCCCACTTTGTCATTTTCATCATCTGACTCTTCGTCTGACTCACCAAAGTTTAAGATATCTTGTATATGATTGATTCTGTCATCGTCACTGCTGTCATCTTCATCATCGGTGCAGCCTTCAAAGACACTCTTCAAAGGCATGCATATCTGACAAACATACCCCGGCTTGGATGGGTGGGCAGCAGGGTGTGGCACATCAAGCAGCCAGGTCATATTGTTGGCCAGGAAGGCACGGAGCCCAGGGGGCATGGCTAGGGCATCAAGCACACTCAGGTGTGAGGGCACGAACTTCCTGAGCTTCTGGCAGCAGAAGAACTGGAGGGAAGTTGGGAACGACCTTGAGGAGATGATCCTCATGCCACTTCTGGCTGCTGTGGAGCAGGCCATAGGGTACAGGACACGACCTCTCAGGTTTCTAAAGGCAACACCTGTAACAGTTCAAAGCAGGCATTATTTTTTTTTAAAGCATAAAAGTGGGCAAGAATATGTTTACTGTTAAGTAAGATTTTTGACTTAATAAGCTTTTCAGGATTAAAATATATCAAGTCCTTGGGCTGGTTTACAAAAGCTTGGTTGTTAAAAAATAGTGGCTATGTTTATCAGTTGTAATTTGGAAAATGTGTTCTGTGCACTCAAACCCACCATGTCCATATAAATGTACAATACCTAAGCACTGTTAATTACATTTATTAATGGAGGCATGAAAAGTAGCAAGGCTTTTAAAACTACTCTGTCCCTCTATATACTGACAAAAACAATTGTACAATACCTAAGCACTGCCTGTTTTTAAAAAAGGCAAGTGTCCCATGCCACATATCCAAGTGGGCTCCTATGATTGCTCCCTGACCAAATTTGCTGCAGTATTCTGACTTGCGACCATTGTGCTGGATTCTCCCATCGTAAGAAATCCCCCAGCTTTCCAAATCTAGGCCCAGCAGACTACAGAACATGTTGTGAAACCCGTTGAGGTCTACATTTTCAGTGCCTACACCAACCATCTGAAAGTTGTTGGACAATTCATACAATTTAAACAAGCCTTGTATATGCTTAAGTCACAGAAGCAGGTGAACTCTACTTCTCTTACCCCATGGACCGTCAGGTTAGAAAAGAGAACTTTACTTAAATAAAGTAAAATAGGAAAATATGTAATTATATTAACAGCTCAAAATAAAAACTTGGATCAACATTATGACAAAAAAAGACTAATTGAAAATAAAGTAAAATTAAGCGATCAGTAAGTAATAATCTTTACCATATCAGTGCCATAGACAGGTGTGGTCATTTTAATCTCCCAAAAATACTGATCTTTTTCCATTGCTTGCTGCCCACGAACTCCTGAAGTACCACAGCTGTAATCTTTATGAAAGATGACTTGACGGCCTTGCTCTTGTAAGGTAGTAGCCTGGCCACAGTTGTTTGCATTTTGATCCCAGACCCAGTCAAAGTCTGATGCCATGAATGTGGATAAAACAAGGTGAAATCTACAAGCTGTAATCAAAACTTGCTACACTTTTTTTTAATTAAAGAAATTTGTAAGTAGTGATACTCAAATGTGTTTGTCGCTTGCAACAAGGTTTCAATACCAAGTTAAACCAAGAAGTCTAAGTTTATACCAATTGTAGGAAAAAAGTCACAGGAAAAAAGTCACAATCAAATGTATATTTGCATGGAATTTGTTAATACTTTTATGTATTAAATATTCAAAAAGTGCAAATCAACTTATGATTAATTAAATGTAATGAAATGTGCGTAGGTTGTAAAGGTGATATTTATAACACGTAAATATTTAGTGTGAGCTATTTACGTGTTAATTCATTTATACATATAAAATTTAATAGAATTTAATATAATGTTCCAACCTTGTCTTTTTTCATTGTGTTTGTTAAATACTAACTTTAAATTAGCTCAAAATGGCATAAAGGTGTAGTTAATGTGAATTGCTGCCCTCAACTCAATGCAACAATAGATCAACCACCTGTTTGCCCATATTTATTACGGTCATTACATAACAAAGCAAAGTATCAAAACAGAAAGCAGACACTGTACGAAGGCTGTCATTGACTTTTTTTTTTTACTTTTTCCCTTAAATTTCCTTGCAAAAACAGTGACTTTTTCTGAGTTTTTTCTTTCTGTGACTTTTTTCCGTTCACCATTTATACCAGGGATGACGTGGCCTAGAGGCAGAGTCCACCCAGTTCTGATGGGTTCCTGACTCATGTTAAGGAAACAAAGCCAGCTGGGTATAGTGCTGACCATACTAATTACTATCCCCTTGTATGCCAAGGTCTTTGAAACAGATTTACTCTGCTTCTTCTTGAGCAAGAACGAGAGAAGATTATGATGTGTTAATGTATTCAAAATAACTTTATGATGAGTATTTACATACTTTATGTTCTTCAAATTCAGTTGCTGGTACATTTTAAACTAAATACAGCTTTTTAATAGAATCATAAGAAAAGTAACTCACAGCTTTCTTCCTCTCCACACCTACACTCCCTCTCTCTTCTTTGATGCACACATTTACAGTATGTTTCTGTTCTCAGGGGCTTCCCATTTCTAAAGCGAAGAATCATGGCTAAACTACGTAGCTCACGCTGAGTCATTTCAGCTTTTTCAAATAAAGATGCTGAAGTTTGACATCCCCTTTCCTTTTTACTTATAGCTGACTGTTTAGGAGATGCCTGAGGTAATACAGATTCTAATGTATTCTCAATTTTTTTAAAAGTAAGTTTTTCAAGTCTTCGTAGCTTCGACAGTCTTAAGACACAGTATTTGCATTTTGATGATTTAGGTTCCTCTCTTTCTGTTAATGTTCCTCTGTTCACTTTATCTCTTGCTGACATCTCTATAAAATCGTCATCAGTGACACTTCCATCAAGACTTTCTACATATAACCTTATGGACGACTCTTGAGAAACAGTCAGTGCACACTCAGGTAACAAGACAGGTTTGCTTTCGTTACTTTCCGACTCTAAAATGACTTGAGCAGTTAATGGAATCTGGGGTAAAGTGTTCAACTGGGACAAATCTGGTTTATCATCTGGATCCATTGTAAATCATGCAGATAAAATCTGTTAAACAATAACATTTCAGAATTTTAGGCTTAACAAAAATTAATAATTAGGGCTATAGCGGTAAGTATTATAGTGGCATGGCGCCTAATTAAGGAAGAAAACAGATTTTTTAATATAATTTTCTACCTTCACACTATGACTAAATGACTAAAAAAATTAAAGATTAATAAAGATAAAAATAAAACACTTTTTTTTGGGTAAAACTCCATTTTAACGTATTTTATTCGCCGCTTCAAGTTCACCTAAGGTTGAACGTACTTGATTATAAACACAAACGAAACACACAAAATATTTAAGAAAACACTAATATTAGATCTAGATCTACTTAATTTTTTTTTTAAATAATGTGTGTTTTAATTAGAACAGGTATAAAAATATAAATAAGCATTAGGCCTACAGTTCCAATTTAATAGCGGTGATGGACGACGGCTCGCATTTTCTTGTCAGCGGGGGAAAAATCCCTACATGGTCAAGGTTCACCGTGAGTTCACATTCACTTTAATCATAAGTCATAGTCATAGGCCTAGCTATTTGAAATTATGGTGACATCAGTTTTTGGGTGATTGTGAGTTCATATAAGTTTAGAGTATGCGTAGTGTGGGTGATACTTGTAACAATATAAACTTCTTTGCAATTATGAGTTTCATACTTTACTGATTGCCATGAAATTTTAACTGACACTAACATTTTTCAAGAGTAAAAATTAATGTTTCAAATTTGGATTTTTCTTCTTAGCCTAAGTTTTGACAAAAGTAAATTATCAGAAAACTAAAACAAAAAACAAATAAATAAGGCCTAGCGTTTTCCTTACGTTTTTGTGTCTTTCAGTTGTTTTAAACACTGTTTATAATAAAATACGCTCAACTGGAGGTGAACGTGAAGCGGCGATTAAATACGCTAAAATGGAGTTTTAACTAATTTTTGTCCTATGCAATATTTACTACATGTAGGCCTGTCTAAAAATTATTAAATTACTAATTTGTAATTAGGCCTATAGTTTATTAGGTAATCTATCGTTTTAGGTACGTAAAATCGCCCGCGACTTGTAATGTGAAAAACAGGTGACTCCTTAAATTTTAATACTTATTTCACATTTTGAGGAGGATTTATGTTTTTTAAAATACAAAAATGTTTTCATGTTTCATTTATGTACGTGTTTTTAAACAATTGAATTAAAACTTTTCAGTAATAAATGAAGACTAGCAATGTTTCCACCAGATGCAACCATGCTCATTTACTATAGCAGCCATCTAGTTTAAGTTTTATTTTTATAAACTTATAGCGCGAGATTCAGGGGGAAGCCACTCTATTTTACAAATGGCTGCTGTTTATATATATAGCAAATCTTGCTCGCAGACACTGCTGTTTAAAGTTAACTTCTGGCCTATATTTATATATTTAGCCACTGATTTAGGTTTATTAGGCCTATTCATTTATCTATAATATTTGACACAAACATATCGCAATACACTTCTTTTAAAGCCTTGACAAAAAAAACAAATGGTAGCTGCAGTGAGGTTAATGTGAAAAACAGGTGACTCCTTAAATTTTAATACTTATTTCACATTTTAAGGAGGATTTATGTTTTTTAAAATACAAAAATGTTTTCATGTTTCATTTATGTACGTGTTTTTAAACAATTGAATTAAAACTTTTCAGTAATAAATGAAGACTAGCGATGTTTCCACCAGATGCAACCATGCTCATTTACTATAGCAGCCATCTAGTTTAAGTTTTATTTTTATAAACTTATAGCGCGAGATTCAGGGGGAAGCCACTCTATTTTACAAATGGCTGCTGTTTATATATATAGCAAATCTTGCTCGCAGACACTGCTGTTTAAAGTTAACTTCTGGCCTATATTTATATATTTAGCCATTGATTTAGGTTTATTAGGCCTATTCATTTATCTATAATATTTGACACAAACATATCGCAATACACTTCTTTTAAAGCCTTGACAAAAAAAACAAATGGTAGCTGCAGTGAGGTTAATGTAATTAGTAATAAAACAGATAGTATTAGTTACCTCACAAGTTAATAGTATTTCTCGCTAACCCGGAGGCGTGGCCGGTTGCTAACAACAATATGGCGCCCGGACCGGACGCTTGACTTCCGACGATTTTTCGGCCAAATTCCAGAGACCTTCTACTAATTAGTTTTTAAAATGTTTACCACACGCAAAATGGCGGGACTTTCACGTTATAACAACAAGCTATAGGTGGCAGGGCTATATATGCCAGAAAAGCATTTTAAAATTTGCGTTGGAGAATGAAGGCTAAATTTAAAAGTTTCATCAAAAATACTAGAACTTTTTAAATATCGATTTCCATATTACAAAATTGATTTCCATACTAAAGCATTATTACTTTTATCAGTCTATGAAAAAATAAATCAAATATAGTCAACCGTTTTTTTATAAGACCAGCCGGAAAAATGACAACCAAATTTTTTTTGAAAAAAAAAACCACGTGACCACTATTTGGTGATCACTAGTAAGGAACTCTTGTGCATGGCCACTTAAAAAGTCTAACTTGATTTGTGGTTTTCTTTAGCTTCAAGCTTAAGAAGAGTTGTCATGGAGAGATGTGTTGGACATGGCAGTGATTGACAATAAATATTAAATTAAGTAATTTAGTTTAAAACAAACTAAAAACTCCAAAGTTAGTGCCTAATGGATTAAATATGGATGTCTATTATTCAGTGGTCATGTTTAAATTGATAATTGTGTAAATTCTAGATTTAGTGAGAAAAACTACAAGTTAAAGACAGTACTAATAGTCTATCTGTTTTATTACTAAAGCCTTGACAATGAGGTAATGTTTTCGTACATTAATAGCCGCGGGCGATTTTACGTACTCAAAACCATAGATTACCATTTATTAATATTCCTATAGGCCTAGCTATAATATAATTATAAAGATAAAATGATAGATCTACTAAAAAATGAAAATACTAGGCCTAACTAAATTACTTAAAATTAAAATTAGGGCCTACTAAAAACTAAAATTTAAAATAAAATCTAGCCTCAATGCCTGAATTTTCAAATTAGAATAAAGCTTCATTTATTACTTTAAAGTTTAGTGGCTATGTTAGTAATGATAAGTAATGTTACTGGATTCAATAACTCTTTTTTTGGGATTTTAGTTACTTTTTACTAAGGAAATCTAATGAAATGCAATATCCTAGTCTATAATATTAATAATAATAACAATAATGTGGCAAAACATACGCCTTGTTTTACAGTCTCAATGCCAGATAAAGTATTGACTTATTGGCCTATAATATTTTTGTCATAGGCTCTGCAAAATTATTTTAAAAAATCAAACTAATTTTAGTAATTTAGCTTAGGCTTTTTTTTTAACTTTAAAAAGCGACAATATTTCGGCTTAACCAGGTCTAATGAATAAAAACGGTATGATATGCATGCATATTCCTTAAAATATGATTGAAGATGTGATTGAAGATGTTTGGCATTGGCAAAACATGATTGCCAATGTGCACACCTTTGTGTTCTTCTAGAAGTTTTGGTCATCTAACAACCCGACATAACCATTATTCATTTCCTTTCACTCTCCAAATATAAATAAAACGGGAGTAGTCTCCCCTAAACTTTCTCGAATATTCTTAAATAACGTTACGGGGGATGGCAACTTGGGATAGACATAATTTTAATCCATTTTTATTTACTTAAACTTTTTTTTAGTAGAATAAAATCTCGTAGAAAAAAGAATTGCGCACCACGTGAACGGCAAACAATGTGTGCATAACGGTGCGGAACTTTATAAATTCTTATGTGTTTTTTGAGAAATCGGAAATAACGTAAAGTACTACTTCCGGTCACCGGAAATTACTCAAAATTTGACAGAAAAAAAAGTGAATTAAATCTTTTACTTATATGCCTTATGTGAAATTTCATTTATCAGAAACTGTACTAAAGTTATAGGCTTTTGAAAAAAAAAACGAAAGTATAATAAATTCCTCTTCCGGTTACCGAAAATCCCTTAAAAGTTTAACAGAACTACAAATTTGGTGTAATAATTATACATGAAATTTTCATCAGCCTAGCTGTAACGGTACTCAAGTTATCGTGTTCATTGAAAGACACTCATTGTATACACAGACATACGGACAAAATTGAGAATTTTCCGACTCAGAGAGGTGTAAAACGATTTCGATTTTTTGCATGCTTACAATACTTACTCTATGCTTCATATAAGAGAAAGTAAGAAACCAAATGACCGTATAACACCACCATTAACACATATGAATATGTACAATTTATTCCCAAACATTCGCGTTAGCCTTAAGTTTAGATTTTTGGCCGAATTATAATTTAGCGTAATGCGTCATTTTAATTTAAGCTAGAAAGATAGCTGTTTTTGTAGTGCAAGCAAGTAGTTTGGTACAATTTTTATTTATGTTGTATCTCTTTAACATTAGAAAATAGTAAACCATTGTCCAGGCCAAAATCAGTGTTTCTTCCCAACTTGAAATTTTCGGAAGAGGAATAAAATTTCCGAGGAGGGGGGACACTGGTGAAAATATTTTCTATATACATTTTAATTCGTTCAGGGGGGGGGGGGCAGTAGACGTTTTCCAGATGCCTGGAAGAAATTCTGGCCAGAATTATCTCAGGATCGGGGTCGGCGTGGTCGAGTCGGTAAAGCTCATGGTTGCTAAATCGAAAAGTCCCGAGTTCGAACCCTCGGGCAGATGAGGCTCGTTAGCTGGGGGCAGCAACTCTTCTAGGAGAGACAACTCCAAAATCAAACAACTGCACTGCCTTGTAGTTTGTCGTTGGTTGAACAAAGGCTATGGTCAATGACCTCATTGGCACATAATTAGTTGACTGACACGTATGTGATGGAGGCGTGGTCGAGTTAATAAATTCGAAAAAGTCTCGAGTTCAACCCTCTGGCAGATAAGGCTCGATCCCTTCCAACACTAAAAATTAAGAACAAAGAAGAAGAAGAAGAAGATCGCAGGATCTCATATTTTTTACCGTTTGGTGAAATAAAACCACATTGGTGAAATAAAACCTGTTTTAACCAACTGTTTTAACCATTTTCGAAACTGTAACAATTGACAGTGGAATGCGTAAAAACTCTTCTTCTCTATGTATTAAATGATTTCGCTTCAAACCAATACGGTTTGTTCCTCCTAGGATCGGCGCCCGGGGTAGCCACCCCACCCGCCCTCACCTATCTACGCCACTTGTGATGGACGAACCCATTAACATGAATTCGTACACGTTTTGGTAAACTAGTCTTTATACTACTTTGATGGTCCACATTGTGTTGAACTCGTCGTGGAATGGATTTCTCTTCATCTATGCGTCCTCCCCACTTCTAATATAGCCTAATGTTCAATCGGTAATTCTCGTTTGAACAAACCGGCATCATTCTTCAAATTGGATCTTCCGACACTCGAGTCACAGCTATTGCCCATGCCGATTCAGTTTTGCATCCAATTATGGATGGCCTATTTGAAACCGCTGATTGTGCTCTATTTCATGATAGGGATCTTACATTATTTAACACAAAATGTAACAGTTGTGCCCCACCCCTATAGCAGTGACCAAATTTTTCATGTTATAAAACACCCTTACTTCTTACCCCTTCCCCTCGATTACAAACACGCATTCTTTTCTTTTAAAGAAAAAGTAGCGCTTCATCACATGTAAATTGTAAAGTATTTTTAAAAAAATATGTAGATTGTTGTTGCAAGATATTCACCCAAAACGGTGACAGAACACATGATCTCAGACAAAATATTTCACGGACAAATGATCTCAGGACAAAAGATATCAGTACAAATTATCTCAATGATAAATGATCTCACGGACAAAATATATCAGGGCAAATGATACCAGACAAAATATCTGACAGCAATCCGTCATTGATTATGAATCTTTGAGAAAAAAAAACCCAACTAAATAGAATTTTTTTTTATCTTTACATTTATGTCTTCTATGGAAAGTGTGTGTGTGTGTGGGAGGGGGGTTTAAGGCGTCTGACAAAGGTTGATGACCGTAGATTGGAGCATAAGATAGGGGTCGGTCGAATCTAGTCCATGCAGATGTCCATACATTAAATTAGAAATCAATAAACCTACATTAAAACAAAAATGTCGTAACTTTTTATTTAAAAAAATAAAGAATCTTTAGGCCTATAGATTCTATGTTATTATGTATTAAGTTATTTTTCTGTAGTTAGAGTTTAAATGGATGTCTTAATAATTTTGGACAGGGCAATAGTGACATTTTGAGTTAAATTAAAACAAAAGTAGAAAAAAATTAAAAGTCCATCAATCGTTTTAAAACCGAATATTTTAATTTATGCAACATTGTTTTAATATAATAAAAGTAGTTATACTATACCAGCCTACTGTGTTTTGTATTTACTGAAGGTTTAACGCAGAGTTTTAGCATAAATTAAAAACTGGCAATCTGAGATCTACCATGCTTTTGCAATTTTAGTTCTGTTGTGACAACATGGGTGATTCTACGAAACCTCTGTTCTCCGCGGTCTATAATTTTTTATCAACTGTTTCCCCCAAAGTAGCACACGAATTTAAAAAGGAAACTGGAATTGTAAGAATGGTTCTCTTGATTACCTAATCAATAGATAGATCTAGTAGATTTAATTATTACTTTTTTTTTTTTTTTTTAAAATCCACACCTCCGTAACACGAGCTCTGGTAAAAACCTACAGCAGCCGCTTTTTATTTTAAACTGCTATTTACATTTTAGCCACGTGTGGCAGCTTTTTCAAAATTATTTAACGTGCTGTGATTCTATTACCATTGCTTCTATTACTAGAATCTATAATATTAGATCTAGGTTCAATATGATACATAGTTTTCAGTTTGGAAGTGGCTGTGTAATAGCCCGGCGGCTATTGGGAGGGGGGGGGGGGGTCATCCATAAATGACAGCGCTGTTTTTTTAAATTTAACCCCCCCTCCCCTCTGTCACATATTGACACCATTGACACATATCATCACAAAAAGCCAAACCCCCCCCCCTAAAATCCTAAAATTAGCGAGGCTCACTAAATCTTAATTTTAATTATTTATTTTTTTAACCAATACCAATAAAAGCTAGAGATATTTCTCTAACTAACCAGGCACTACATTTGATGATTTTAGCTCATTATGAACTAAAATACATGATTTTAATAGGCTTGTCGGTATCGGCCGAGATCGCGGTAAAAACATGACCCGAAATCTCCCATTACTTTCTGATACCGGGCGCACGAGATTTAGTTTTGCATACTAATAAGTTTTTAATTTATGGTAATTAATTAAGTTTAAAAGGTCATTTCCTAATGTTAAATGAAAAGTAGAATGGTTTTCCAGTTGTTTTGATGGCTTAGCGATCTGATTGCATGCTGTCTCTGCTTTGGTCTTACCGCGGTATAAAGGTTAACTTCAAATGCTTTAAAAACGCGATTTTTGAAAAGTTTCCATTTAGATAATGAAAGTTTCCAGAGCAGATACATCCCATTTTTATAGAAATGATATTTATTTTTGGATATTTTGACTTTGACATTAGTAAATACTCATTTGAAAGTAGTCACCGTAAGTAGGTCACGTTGCCCCCATTGACTCCAATGTTATATTAATATATTTCTTCATCCCGATCTGCCGGCTTTTAGTTTTGATACACTAACAACAGTATTCTTATGTAATGTACAAACAAATCTCCTACTTGTTGTTTTAAACATATTTTAATATAGATCTACCTGTCTTTCATTTTTTCAACTCTGGTTCTAGTTTTGCTTGAAGTAAAATTTTGCTGAGTCAGACATAGGTTACCTGTCTGTTGCTAGAATACACTACACTAGCTATGTGCTAACTGTAATTTTAAGTATTCAAGTTCTACTTACAGTACTTACCCTTACTTAGTTATATTTATATGCTGAAAATCAGAATTCATACACAATACACACATAAAAACATTGATCAGATAACTTCAGTTCACTTTTAACAAAATGGCTTAAAGATAGACTCTACTTCACCTGCCCAAAATAATAAGGCAATTATATGCACATTACAGTGTTCAAGTCATTTACTTTAGATTGCTAACTATGTAGTTCTTTCATTCACTGTATTTATATAAAGCATTGCTTTAGAAACTTTTTTATATTTGCGCAGCACAGTTTTATAACAAAATGTCTTAAAGATGGACTCTACTTCACCTGCCCAAAATAATGGGGCAGTTATATGCAGTTATATGCACATTTCAGTGTTCAAGTCATTTACTTTAGATTGCTAACTTTGTAGTTCTTTCATTCACTGTAAAACATTGCTTTAGAAACATGTTCATATTTGCGCAGCACAGTTTTTTTTGGGGTTATGGAAGGAAGCCAACACAAAAATATACTTCTGTATTATTTTTATTTATTTCAACAGCATATACAAGTTCTATATATCATTCTAGCTCAACTCTGCAAATATGAACAAAATACAACTGCAAGTAAAATAACTATGCTCAATTTATTCAGGTATACCATGACTTGTCACAATTGGGCAATGCAAAAGCAAGGGCATTCCACCCCTCACAAAAAAATTCGCTAAAAAAAAACTATTTGAGCTAGACAGAAAATCTTTTTTGTTTTGTTTTCATATAGTTGAGCTCTACAAGAATATGTAATTTTTATTTTTATATGATGATTAGTGTTTTTTTACCAAAATCCCTAATTTTAATTATTGGTGCCATACAGCTTAGCTGTGAAAGATTTTTCCATGACAACCAGTCAAAGATCTGGTTCCTAAAGTTGACCTGAAAACGACCAAGGAGGTTCATAAGGATCATGTGTGGGGAGGGGGAAGTGGAGGTATGCTGCAATAAAACGAAATCGAAAGGATACTCGTAACTTGGTTATGTAATCTATTTACTGTATTTCTAGTAAACGCCAAATGAATGAACCAAAAATAATCACGTATAAATGTTTAAAAATATATAGGTCTAAACTTTTTAAAGGTATTCATTTTCACTTTTATTCAGTCTTGATTAATCAGTGTAAATAGGAATGTTTAATTAGGACAATTAGGCCTAATAATAATAGATTGAGTTAACGGCGGAATCTAACCCTCCTCCCTTATCCAGCATGGAAGCTTTGTCCAGACTGAGTTTTAAATATTTAAAAAAAGTAGATCTATATAGACATCATAAAATATCTGTTTTTATTTTTAAAACTGTCGTTGCATTAAATTTCATCACATGTGAGCGAGAAATGCATTCCAAACATCGCCACTCATAGGCTGTGCGTAGTGACGGCTAGCTCGCGTTGTTTTCTCAACGAGAGAAACATCGCCCGTCCGAAGCTAGACATATCCAGGCGGAGTTTTAATACTTAAATTTGTATCTAGAGCTGGTGTCTAGATCTATTTAAAGATTGTTAGGCTACGCCTATCACATTAACGTTGATCACTTGTGAGTGAAAAATTATGCAAATTCGTCACGAGCCCGCTTGCGTTCTTTCGCCACGCGAGCGTGTGCGCAAGTCCAAGTACTGTGTCAACTAGATCTAGATCTAAGAATGCAAACTTTTTGTTTATGCAGGCTGTCCTCTAATATGATTATTATAATTTATTAGCCTAGTCCTTCTGGATCTAAATCATAATAATCAATTAGTCTATATAAAAAATGAAAGCAAATGAAAATAATATTAACTATAATTCGATCAAGTCGTAATTAGTAATAATAAAATCAAGTAAATAATTTAGCACCTAGACTTTACTAGACGTATCGAGATCGCGTTTCACCACGAGATCACCGGTTTACGGGCTTTTACAGAAATACCAACTAATTCCTATCTTCCCATGTTCAGATTGAAATACTTAATTAATTTGTCCAGCAATGTAAAAATTAAAATTGGAAAATATTCACTTAACGATTGTCAACATAAATAACAACACAAACGTAGTAAAGAGTCGATAGAGCCACCTAGGCAAACGTCTCCCGCCCAATAGCGGTCACGTGGGTTATGGAATTTTACTTTTGGTGGTGACCATTTTGGAGAATTTTTTTAAAAATTAGCGCATGTAATATTCGATTTATTTTTACACAGACTGCTAAATCTAATATTGATGTACTTTCGGTTTCCGATCTACATCGTAGTAGCTAATATTTAAAAAGATCTACGAATGTTTGTCGGCACCACTTTTTGAGCTTCGGTCTTCATTATCCAAAGCAATTTATAGCGTTTCTCTGGCATATTTAGCACTGCCATTTATAGTTTGTTTACATTATGTGAAAAAACCGCCATTTTTCACGAGGTAAACATTTTAAAAATGAATTCCTAGAAAGTCACTTGGGCAGACAAGAAAAATGTCCGAAACTAAGCGTCCGGTTTAGGACGCCATGTTGTTGTTAGCAACCAGAGACGCTTTCAAGTTAGTGAGCCTCGCTACTAAAATGATGTCACACCTCAGCCTACAACCCCCCTCAAAATTGCATGTAGTGGACTTTCTTGAACTATTAGGTAGGCCGTTCGGTTCAACGCTTCCGGGTTTGTCATTTTGAAAAAAAATAAGTTTGTTTGAAAAATTATTAATAAGAATTAGGCCTACTTTTCATGAGTTGTTATTTAAAGAAAACGAAAGTACGTCCCATTTTTCTTTCACAAATGTGGATCGGATTAGAATTTGCATAGGCCTAAGTACTTTAATTTTAGTTAATTTTATAACATGATGACGTAAACTTTTAGAAGCTGCAACTGAACAGCAACAGCGTTCCACAATGTTAAAAAATGCAGGATTGCAAGTGGTTTTACAAAAAATTCTATAAAATACTAAATCAACAGAACAAGAAAACTACAAGAAGTAAATACAATGAAAAATGGCAGATTTGTGATAAAACTTTGCTGAAAATGTTTAATTGAATAAATAAAATTTTATTGGACGCTGGGAGCATCGTTGCAGCATGGCAAGCTGGCCTGTTGACCGCTTGGAGTGTTGTTAGGGTCTTAAAAAGTTAGGATTAAAGCTATTATTTAAGCCTAGATTGTAGTTCACGATATTTATTAATATTATACCATTTTTAGAAATAGTCTATGGCAAATCTTGTATCCCACTTCTTATTCTTAGGGGTCATCCATTTATGACGTCCACAATTTTTTGGGGGATTTTGGAAACACCACCCCCTCCACAAAAATCCACTTTTTTCTTTTTTTCCTTATACAAGTCCATATGCGTCCACAAAAGGATGACCCCTTATCATCCAATGTAGATATTCTTGCTTAATCTAAAATTTACTAAATTTTCAATTTAAACATGACCACCAGAGTTCCTCACTAGTGATCACCAAATAGTGGTCATATGGTTTTTTTTTTATTTGGTTATCATTTTCTTGGTCAGTCTTATAAAAAGACAGCTGACAATATTTGATTTATTTTTTCATAGACTGATAAACCTAATAATGCTTCACTAAGGAAATCAATTTTGTAGTCTGGAAATTGATATTTTATAAAGTTCTATTATTTTTATTGAAACCAACTTTTAAATTTAGCCTCCCTTTTTTAATAAGAAAATTTTGAAATGTTTTTCTGGCATATGTAGCCCTGCCACCCATAGTTCGTTTTTATAACGTGATATACCCACCAATTTGCTCGTGGTAAATATTTTTAAAAGTAATTCTAAGAAGTTAAAGAAAAAAGCGTCAGAAGTTATGCATCCTGTGTGGACGCTATATTGTTGTTAGCGAGAAATACTAATCTTATTTGTTAGGATAAATTTGCATTACTTTTAGTTTTTGAAAATTCTTGCATTAGTAAAATAAAATTTTGAACTCTTCTTTACCCCCTTTATGCCGTGTTAATTTAAATAAATTGCATTGGGAGGGGGGGGGGGGGGGGGGGGGGGGGTAGCGTTTCTTCTAAGTCTAAGCATTGAAATTGCAGAAAGTTGTTTTAAATTATAGGTAGACCTGTATTTAATAATTGCTGTATTTGTTTTTAGCTTCCACCTTCTAAAGATGAGCCCAGCTTAAATGAAATTTATACAGACTGGCTTCAGTAAGTTTTTTTATCCTTATCTCTGTATATATGTGTGTATGTATATATATATATATATATATATATATATATATATATATATATATATATATATATATATATGAAAGTATGTCTTTTATGAATACATCTTTCATCTGATTGCCATAAAGCTTTGTGAGGTTGATGAGAGCTGGGGAGGTGTGCGATTTGGTGCCCAGAGTTCCCCAGCGCTTAACTTAGCACCTAATTTTGTTGATTAGGCATCTTGCCCATGGAGTCAGGGGTGTTACTTGATTTAACAATCAAACTGCACCAGGCACACTGCTGTTATTGTTCACATTTAAATAGCTTCATTTTAGGAAAAGCTACATGTAGAAAAAATACATGATTAGAAACGCGTTGTTGGAATCATTACTCTGTGTATAGAACTAGATTGCAGAAACTGTCGCAAACGGTAGTTTTTATTTTTTTTATTAAGGTGATTTATAATCTTAAGAAAATGTTATCTTGACAGGAGTAGTAGGAACTTGAATGAAATTCAAGATTATTTACTAACTTAATTTTTATAATTAATATAATAATTATTTTACATTGTTTGAATAGATCGCCATCAGGAAGAAAGAGAAGGCACAGTTCAATTAATGAGGGTTTAGCAGAAGCAAAAAAAGCAAAAACTCAAAGCAGGTATGATTTTTCAAAGAATGTTCCAACAAAGATTCTGACCGGTGTAATCTGACCACCATACACCAATCAATTTGCTGTTAGGTCCATTTCAAAATTCAGTTTGTTTTTTTTGTTAATTTCTCATGTATTTAAACTGAGCTGAAGGATTCATTCTGCGACTTGCTATTGGTGCAAGTTCATGTTTAACTGACTAAAATAATATTAAAAGAAATTTTAAGTATTTTTTTGAAGAATAGTCCTCCCTTCAGAAAAGTTTGTGATGTAAACTAGATTGACTTTTTTTTCTTTTTTTATCTTCTAAATTCATAATCTAAACTGAAATTACTAAATTTATTGTTATATTTTTGAAATTAGCGTATTTTTAAACTATATTTGCTGTTATTTCATAGCAGTTTTAGTAGGACTAGAAACCTTAGTAGTGTATAGGTAATTTTAAAAAAACCCACTTATTGTTTCAGTGGCCAAAAGCGATCAAAAGAAAGCAGCTCAAGCAGTTCTGACAGTAGTGATAGTGAAAATGATAAAAAGATTTCCTCGCCTCCAAAAAAGATTGCCAAACCTTCTGATCCTGTAGTTACACCAAAGGCAGGTTCAAATGTTAGAGTAAGTAAAAAGACGGCAGATTCTTCAGATAGTGACTCAGAGTCATCAAGTTCGGATGAAGAACCCAAGAAAAAGCTGTCACCAAAACCCAAGACGGCAGTTGCAAAGAAAGCTGTTGTATCTAAAACAGGGAAGGAGTCATCATCTGACAGTGACTCCAGCTCTGATGATGAAGCTGCCGCTAAGAAAACACCAGCTAAACCAGCAGTAGCTGCAGCCAAACCAGCTGTTGCGGCTGCCAAGGCAAAGAAAGAGTCATCATCTGACAGTGACTCCAGCTCTGATGATGAAGCTGCCGCTAAGAAAACACCAGCCAAACCAGCAGTAGCTGCAGCCAAACCAGCTGCCAAACCAGCTGTTGCGGCTGCCAAGGCAAAGAAAGAGTCATCATCTGACAGTGACTCCAGCTCTGATGATGAAGCTGCCGCTAAGAAAACACCAGCTAAACCAGCAGTAGCTGCAGCCAAACCAGCTATTGCGGCTGCCAAGGCAAAGAAAGAGTCATCATCTGACAGTGACTCCAGCTCTGATGATGAAGCTGCCGCTAAGAAAACACCAGCTAAACCAGCAGTAGCTGCAGCTAAACCAGCTGTGAAACCAGCTGTTGCGGCTGCCAAGGCAAAGAAAGAGTCATCATCTGACAGTGACTCCAGCTCTGATGATGAAGCTGCCGCTAAGAAAACACCAGCTAAACCAGCAGTAGCTGCAGCTAAACCAGCTGTTGCAGCTGCCAAGGCAAAGAAAGAGTCATCATCTGACAGTGACTCCAGCTCTGATGATGAAGCTGCCGCTAAGAAAACACCAGCCAAACCAGCAGTAGCTGCAGCCAAACCAGCTGTTGCGGCTGCCAAGACAAAGAAAGAGTCATCATCTGACAGTGACTCCAGCTCTGATGATGAAGCTGCCGCTAAGAAAACACCAGCTAAACCAGCAGTAGCTGCAGCTAAACCATCTGTTGCGGCTGCCAAGGCAAAGAAAGAGTCATCATCTGACAGTGACTCCAGCTCTGATGATGAAGCTGCCGCTAAGAAAACACCAGCTAAACCAGCAGTAGCTGCAGCTAAACCAGCTGTTGCGGCTGCCAAGGCAAAGAAAGAGTCATCATCTGACAGTGACTCCAGCTCTGATGATGAAGCTGCCGCTAAGAAAACACCAGCTAAACCAGCAGTAGCTGCAGCCAAACCAGCTGTTGCGGCTGCCAAGGCAAAGAAAGAGTCATCATCTGACAGTGACTCCAGCTCTGATGATGAAGCTGCCGCTAAGAAAACACCAGCCAAACCAGCAGTAGCTGCAGCCAAACCAGCTGCCAAACCAGCTGTTGCGGCTGCCAAGGCAAAGAAAGAGTCATCATCTGACAGTGACTCCAGCTCTGATGATGAAGCTGCCGCTAAGAAAACACCAGCTAAACCAGCAGTAGCTGCAGCCAAACCAGCTGTTGCGGCTGCCAAGGCAAAGAAAGAGTCATCATCTGACAGTGACTCCAGCTCTGATGATGAAGCTGCCGCTAAGAAAACACCAGCTAAACCAGCAGTAGCTGCAGCTAAACCAGCTGCGAAACCAGCTGTTGCGGCTACCAAGGCAAAGAAAGAGTCATCATCTGACAGTGACTCCAGCTCTGATGATGAAGCTGCCGCTAAGAAAACACCAGCTAAACCAGCAGTAGCTGCAGCTAAACCAGCTGCGAAACCAGCTGTTGCGGCTACCAAGGCAAAGAAAGAGTCATCATCTGACAGTGACTCCAGCTCTGATGATGAAGCTGCCGCTAAGAAAACACCAGCCAAACCAGCAGTAGCTGCAGCCAAACCAGCAGTAGCTGCAGCCAAACCAGCAGTAGCTGCAGCCAAACCAGCTGTTGCGGCTGCCAAGGCAAAGAAAGAGTCATCATCTGACAGTGACTCCAGCTCTGATGATGAAGCTGCCGCTAAGAAAACACCAGCTAAACCAGCAGTAGCTGCAGCTAAACCAGCTGTTGCGGCTGCCAAGGCAAAGAAAGAGTCATCATCTGACAGTGACTCCAGCTCTGATGATGAAGCTGCCGCTAAGAAAACACCAGCTAAACCAGCAGTAGCTGCAGCTAAACCAGCTGTTGCGGCTGCCAAGGCAAAGAAAGAGTCATCATCTGACAGTGACTCCAGCTCTGATGATGAAGCTGCCGCCAAGAAAACACCAGCCAAACCAGCAGTAGCTGCAGCCAAACCAGCTGTTGCGGCTGCCAAGGCAAAGAAAGAGTCATCAACTGACAGTGACTCCAGCTCTGATGATGAAGCTGCCACTAAGAAAACACCAGCTAAACCACCAGTACCTGCAGCTAAACCAGCTGCCAAACCAGCTGTTGCGGCTGCCAAGGCAAAGAAAGAGTCATCATCTGACAGCGACTCCAGCTCTGATGATGAAGCTGCCGCTAAGAAAACACCAGCCAAACCAATTATTGCAGCACTACCTAAACCAATAGCAGCTGAGACAAAGCGTTCTAAGAAAGAGGAAACGTCTGATAGTGATTCAGATTCATCTAGCTCTGATGATGAAAAACGAACTGTTACTGTTACACCTAAAGTTAATGCAGGATCTGTGTTAGCATCGAACAATAAAGCAGAGAGTGATTCTGATTCTAGTTCGGATGAAAAATCTGTGGTACAAAAGTCTAAAAATACCACACAGACACCAAAATTAAATGGTAAAAGCTGCATCGAAAATGGGGAATCTAGCTCCAGCTCTGACAGTGAAAAAGAAATTCAAAGGCCTAATAATTCTGTATCAACTCCAAGTTTGTTAAAAAGTTCTAAACCCACTCATTCGTCTACACCAGGAGAAACAAAACAATCATCCAAAAGTAAAGACACATCAATATCAGATGTTACAACACCTAAGCAGAATGGGATGACACCTTCTGGTGATGCTCCCTCTTCACAAGGAAAGGTAATACACTGTATTTGAAGTGCTGATAATAGATAATTTTATTTAACACTAATAAGTTCATTTTCAAATTTTATGCACACCATAGCAGTGGCTCTTATTCTATTTTTTTAATTTCCTCAGCGTACACCAAGTGAGCCATTCAGACGAGTAAAATCTGAAGAAGTTTATGTTGATCCACGATTCTTAGATAATTCGTTTGAAGCTAAGGTAAGGCTGAATTAAGTAATTTTTTTGTCAATGTAACTTACAAGAGTTAAATAGTAATCTTTCATGGTCATAGTTTAATATTGTTACTTAGTAATTTGGGTTGACATCAAATCCAAGACAACACTGCTCGTAGAGATAAATACTATCATTTTTCAAAACGTTCTTCTCAAACGCCAAGATTACACATTTGTATTTTTCTCAAATTGCAATTGTCCAGTTATTAATAGTTTTATTTAGCTACAACTGTAAATTATTTTAATTTCCTTTTTATTTAGAGAGGAGCTCATGGCTCCTGGGGTGAGAAGGCTCATAAAGATCTTATAGTGACACGAGGAAAAGGATTTAAACACGAAAAGACAAAGAAGAAGAGAGGCAGCTACAGAGGAGGCACTATAGACACTGGTGTACATTCCATTAAGTTTGATGACAGTGAATGATCAATCTTATTTTAGCTCCTTGTATAAAAAATATTTATAGACAGTTGAATTACCAATATTAACACTGCTGGCATGAGTTTCTATGAAAAGCTGTAAGGGTTCTTGATAGAAATGTTTCTTTAATTTGATAATTGATAAGCCAATTGGAATCCTTTCTGGTAAAATCAATTTAGTTTAGACAAATGGATAACTTATTTTATCAACATTTAATACATCCGACACTGTCAGTGTGAATTACTAATTACTTTCTTTCAAATAATTAGATATCTTTTTTTACAAGAACCTGCAAAATGCATAAAAAGGTGAAGTTCTGCTTTTTATGTGGTGCAAAGTATTAAGCTTAAAATGTGAACACATGTTCAACCACAAATATTATGTTATGTAATTTTTAATGTAAGGACAAAGTTAGTTTTATTTTTCTCCATAAAATTGTATTAATTGTTTTTGTTGGCCCACAAGTGTTCTTTTGCTCATTTATAGACATATACACTGTACATGTTCATAGCTGATGTAGAATTATGGTGGATTATCAATACTTTAAGGACTAAATTAACCACAAGCTTGCCTCTTAAGTGTTGCTTGTTGTAATGAAGTTTTGATGTATCTGAGAAAATGACAACAACGGTGGCATTATTATTAGCTTCAGCTCATTTAGATCATCTTCTTAGTTGAGACATTGTTTTAACTGTCACCATATACATATTTTTTACATTGATATGTTAGAAATGTAAAAATAAAAGACTTAAGCTAAACTGAAGTTTTTATTATCATTTTAGTGTAATACTGTAACTGGAACAATTATTAACAAACTTTTAAGTGATTGTAGTTTAAATTGTAAATGATTTTTACATGGATGCAAACTACTGGCTGCAATCAAATTAAAAATCCTAAAAATAAAAACAAAATACATAATGAAGATAAATTAGTACTTTATTTAATTTTAATAACATGAGGTGCCAGCTGATCTGGGTCGATCAATGAATCCATAATGTGTTTATCAATGTCATAGTCATGGGTCTGATGCTTTAATTGCAACCCACTTCTTCGACTTGACCTTTGGGGTATGGGCAGTTCAGAATGGTGAGCTGGTAGGGGTTCCGTGAAGAAATAGGGATGCAGCAAGGCCTGTGAAGTGGATGTACAATTACCAGTTAGTATAACTGCTATTTTCTCAAACAGCCAAAGCTTTTTATAGTTGTGTCCCTTCATGGTTTTGCTATGCAGCTTTAGATATATGAAAGCAAATTAGATGTGTAGAGAGATGTTTTATTGTAAAAAAAATAGGTTATAAAATAGTGAGATAAGCTAAAATTAAATAAGAAAAGTTAATAAACAAGAGAATGCATTGTACAGAAGAGTCAGCCAAATGAAAGAACAAGACCAGAATATAGTTACAAAAAGACCAGAAAAGAGGTTGAAAACTATTTGGTTGGGTATTGTGGTGATAAAACAAACATTTTAAATACCTTATTGGCTGAAATTCTTTGTTTACTTGGATAAACTAAAAACTGCTTGAGCAGATCAAGTGCATCTTTAGATGCATCTGGGACAATTTCTTCTAATGGAATGGGAGCATTGTCAGGAAATGAAATTTTGTGGAAGTCAGGAAGATCCAGTTTTGACATCCCCTTTAGTTGAAAGAAGTAAATGATATAAAAATAACATTTTTAGTTTGCTGATCAGACCTTTTTTAAATACTCTTGATAATTCAGTTATCTAATATATAAAGATGAAATGGACTCTGTATCTATGTGTGGAACACATGCATGTAGTAAAAAACTCGAATGCCAATACTAAAATGTAAAATTTTAAAAAAATTGTGATCATTTTCAAAATTAATTATTTTAATTGAAGTAATGTCCGAAGAACAAAATTGAACTAAATGTATTACCCTTTATAAAAATTCAAATTTTGTTTGAAAAATTATACAAATTATGTCCCTTTGTACCAACTTCCCTTGATAGATAAAAACACATAAACCAGAAAAAAAAAATATTTTTAAAGTTTTTATTATGTTGGAAAAACAAAACAATGATCTAATTAGCATTGTTTGATAAAGTGCAATTTGGTAGGTAATTTAAATACTACCTTTTATTTATTTTATACACTGAATACAAGGTTTACTCATTATTTTGATCAATAACAGTTTAGAAGCTGTTTCTAAATGTCCTCTATGTTTACGTTTATGTTTGTATCTGTGTTTTTTGTTTGTGGTTGGTTGTGGTTAGGGTTAAGCTTAGAGTTAGAGATAGGTTTAGGGTTATGTGTTATTTTCTCAAATGTCCACATTTGCATATATACATTTAATTGGAAAAGTAATAGTGATATATTTCCTAGACCAGGGCAATGCCGGGTATATACTGCTTAGTAAACACACAAGTCATGTTCTTTACAGATAGGTTTTTCACAGAGGCCAGTGCAGGGTCTGGCCGGGATGGCTAGTAACAGATAAAAACAACACATGAAAAAGACTTACAGGCCATGTCTTCTCATTGGGAGTACCCAGCACTCTAATCACCAAACACAGCTGCTCAATATCAGTCTCTCCCTGAATAATGGATTAGTCAAATCTATTTTAAGTCACCTGATCACTACATTTGTAAATGGTTAAACACTACAGACAGTTAAGCTGTTTTCAATGAGATTGTATTCAATCTTTCACTTTCAATGATTTCCACATAAAAATAAGCAACCTATTTTTTTTCTTAAGATATTACATTGTGTTATTTCCCATGAAAACCCTTTAACACATTTTAGCAACCAAAGCTTTTGCATTTATCTTAAGAAGGAAAAGTTCATTTAGTTTTCTTTTCTAGTGCATTCAATAAAGGCTTGTTATAAAGGATTATTTAATACGTTTTATATTTCAGATAACACAATTAACTGTTTTAAATCTATCAAAATTAAGCCGTAGTTGAAAGCACACTTAATTATACATGCACTGACAACAAAGTTCATTGTGTTACTGTTGATAATAAACAATACTCACTGGAAAAATAGGTGAATTGTTCAACAGCTCACCAAATATGCATCCGATTGCCCTGTTCATAAAATGTTAGAATAGAAATTTAGAATAATGATAATAACTAGGTTTACTAATCTGATTTAAAAAAAAAATTTTTTGTTAATTGTAAATTTAAAAAGATATTTGTTTTTTACCATAAGTCGACACCCTCATCATATTTTCTAGCACCATAAAGTAGCTCTGGGGCTCTATACCACCTAGTCAATAAAAGAAATATTTTAGAATGTATTTTTGATGTGATATAAAATAAAATAAACATGCATTTGGCTGTTGGCTTAAGAATAACAAACCTTGTAGCGACCTGATGACTATATAGACGTTCCCCTTTGTTCTGGAAGACTCTGGCCAATCCAAAGTCAGCAATTTTTAAGTGCCCAGTCGAACTGATTAGTAAATTGGCAGGTTTGAGATCCTAAAGAGTTAAGGTTGTAATTCTCTTTAGATATATTAAAATTGAAATACATATTTACAATGAAATTAAAAATTAACAGTATTTGCATTTTTTAAAATAATATATACTTATTTCCAGACTTCAGTCAAAAATATGCATTACTTACTCTATGCATAATATTATTTTCATGACAGAAAGCAATGCCTTTAAGCAGCATCAACATGTAAGACTTAATTTGGGCTTCAGTTAAGGGCTTTTCCACTTTTCTTATAACTTCAGACAGATCAGATAACATGAATTCAAACACAAACACAATCACTGCACCATGTGGAAAAACTTCCCTCAATCTTACAACCTGCAAACAAAAAATTGTTTGGAAATTCTTTCTTCAAGACTTAAAGCAGAATGTTGGCTGATGATTTTAACAATGAATGCAGTCAAGTGCAAATACTAATATCCTATTCAGTACTTATTTTGTTAAATGTGCTAAGAAATAAAACACTACAATGAGTAATTACTAGTTACTTCATAATACTTTAACAGCATAGTTCATCACTGATGTAAAATAAGTGTAATATAGATATTTAACAAGGCAGCTGTTTAAACTTTGAAAATCCTCATCGAACTAAATAAAAAAGGAAAATTTATAAATAAAACTCACATAAGGGTTATTTTCGATCTGCTGTAATGCTTTGATTTCTCTGCAATATATTTAAAAAAAATTTAATATGTAACTACAGCCTATATTTAAAAAAGAAAAATACTGAAAATATTAATTAAAAGTAATTTACCTTAAAGCAGTATTCGGAATGCCTTCCTCGGGGTTACGCAAAGGTACTTTCTTTAGTGCAACAACTTCACCACTCTGGAGATATTTAAAAAAGCCAATTAGTTTTGACTAAAACATGTGTTACTAGTATCAGTAAGTAGTGAATGTAGCTATTTTAAAATTATTACTATTTTGTTAATTTCTTAATAAATTACTTGATTAATTAACTTAGCTCATAAATTATATTTTCCAAAGTAAAAGTAAAAATGTTCTATTCAACATGGCCATTAACTACTATTTAAAAGCATCATTTTAATGCTGAACAAACAAACCTCGATGTGTTTTGCTTTTAATACAATGCCATGAGCGCCTTCACCAATTCTGCCTAAGATGTTGTATTGCTCCATTATTGACTATATTTATTAAAACGTCTTCGATTGAATGTGTTTCTGTAAAAAAAAAGGATATAAAAAACAGTTAATTTAAATAGATAGGCCTATGTATTTAACTATTAATTTAAAGGTTTTAACTGTATTAAATTATGTTCTTTCAGAAAATTGGCAAATAAATGTATAAAATAATAAAATATTTGAAATGATTTGATGGGTAAAATTTTTAGGGGTGTTACTGTTAGGTCTAGGTTACTGGTAGTTAACTAAATACACACATAGCTGGCTAATGTCGATGCTAACCCCAACCCTAGTCCAACCATACGCCTAACCCTAAATTCTAACCATAAAATTATTCGAGATTACAATACTACTAACAACCCAACACACCTATTTTATGGATATATATGAGTCTATTATCGGACATCAGTATCTAAAATCATCCTTTTAAATAGTTTGCAGCTATTTTTTTTAGACCTATTTTTTAAAAAATTTAAATGGGATTGTTTTAAACACTGATAATGATATTGCTGTGAGTAATTGTTTAACTCTATGCGACAAGCCCACCAGTTTGTTCAGTCCTGGTCAGGGTTTCGTTCTGTTAGTGAGTTAGACTCAGTAGTGGTTGTGTTTAGGTATTCAAAAGATTGATCAAATCTTTATAAAAAATTAGTCTATAATATAAAATCACATGACATATGATGATATTTAAATATTGATAGAGTAGTAGTAATGTACTTGTTACTACTTGTTAGTTAACTGACCATCAGATCAGTCTATCACACTGCGATTCATTTACTCAACTCAAACAAACATTATTATAACAAAATATTAAATAAAAATAATAAAATCATAAAATGCCTTCATCGACATCGATCAATCACCGATAGTACGAAAATAATGCACTTTTTAAAACATTAAAAATTATAGAGCTAAATCTTCTAGGTAACGAACAAATAAATAGATATATCCTGCTATAATATCTTTTCTATCTAAAAGACTTTGAAAATAATGAGCCCCAGAGCCATTCGCCCATTGGACAAATGAAGGGAAAGTGTACTAAATCTACGGAATGTTTACAGCAGCAACGATAGCCAGATTTTTTCAATGAGGATGGTTAAAAATGAATTACATTTACAAGAGTCATCTACATGTTAAATATTATGGCTCCGCGTATTTAATTTTAAGTCGGTATAAAGTCGAGAAATATTCTAATATTTCTGAATCATTTCGTCTACAATAATTCTTGAGTAGACATATTAGTGTTAAACTCTGTCATTAAACTAAGAACAATGCCTATTACTCGCATGTTAACCGGATCGCTATTTATTTAAGCTTGCATTCAGCCGTAAGTCTACCAAACCATTAAACAATAAACCATTACCCCTTCCCTATATAAGCAGCACTTGTAACTTGTGAAATGTTTAATATATTAATAATGGTGTTCTTTAATTTGACCTCGACTTAAAAAATCAATTATTCAGCTTAGCGGAAAAGCAAGCGTCTTATTTTTTCAATAAAGGGAAATAGTTTCAAACGTTTCATTCAAGAATAATTTTATCGGTTGTTTCCCCGTTTCAATAATTGTTCATATAATTTTCAAAATGATGCGCTGGGAAGACAAATTAAATTAATGGTTATTTCGTGATGCTGAACAAATGTAAAACAGCTACGTATATTTAAATTTACGTTATAGAATAAAAGTATGCAGTTGTAAGCATAACAGCAAAACGTACCCGATGGTAAATCTCATTACATACCCTGACCATAATGCTCCCCCCCCCCCAGACTCCATACCTGCCCTGAATCCAAGGCACCTCCGTGCTGACCCCAGTATACAACTCTCCCGGGAAAACCCGTATATCTGACTGAACTTTAAAACACAGCGGGCTAAACCACAAGGTTATTGTAGATCAAACAGAAGATACACGCGCTGTCATGCATTTATGAATACACCCAGATGTAAGCAACAATTGCTGGGGTAGGTGGGATGTGATCCCCTACCCCACCCTACCTCCCTTATTTGCTTATACCCCAGAAGACGCGTGCATCAGGAGAGAAGTTGCCCCAGCTCTACAGAGGCAGCTCTCTTGGCAAACAGTGCGGCTCACGACTGATCTTACCTGAGCTACCGGCACCCAAGGTGAAAACAGGGCAGGTGGCGGTGACCGCTGTACGAAGGTAAGCAGCTTATTTTCGAACCGGGCCCCCAGTTTAAAGCAGGCCTTTTATTCCAGATAGAATATTTTTAAACGTGAGCAGAGGCTGTGTAGCAAAATTGATGTTTATTTCGTTCTGTGTATACAGGTAAGTGATGGGTTACGTTAAAAAACTCAGTTTTTATTGTGTTCTTTGATTTCATTTCGCTATAATTTTGTTATCAAGAGAAAAAAGTTATACTTCATACATACCAACAACTTACTTTTAAAAATACGTTATATATTATATGCATACATATCATATAAGTTCACAGCTAAATCAAGATATACAACCTGTTTTTTGTCTTCATACATAGATAAACATTTTATTAGACCGACATATTAAAAAATCGTTCTAAAGCATTATCTTAAGTCTTAATCTATCACCAATATGTTTTGGTAAACAGCCAATCGATCGATACAAATCAAGTGATTGACAGAAAATTTGTTTGTAAGTCATTTGCCTCAGTTATAGGCCCGAACTTTTGTGAATTATTTTTAAAAATGATTTGTTTTTTTGCTTTTGATTTTTTTTGTTTTTTTTGTTTTGTTTTGCATAGTATAAAAGTAAGTTATTTTTTAAAACACAAGCTATTTTCATTCAACTACTTTTATAATTGTTTTATAAAAACATTTTTTTCTTTTGTTTCGATTGCATTAAAAGGCACAAGTCATTCTATTAATTTAAAAAAAAATAACAAATATTTTATTTATTGAAATTAAAACTGAAAAATTCAATATTTTGACATATCTTTTGATTTTAAATATTGATTAATATTAGCTATTGCTTCCCATAACCGTACAAAATTATCTCCCATAATTTTTGCCGATAAAGTTTTCGATGAACCCGCCCTCTAAACTCTGGAGCAATTATCTGAGCTTTATTTCTCCCTCACCTGCAAGCAGAGTGACGTCATTTGTTGAGCTGACATTTTAAAACGATTACACAACGCGGTGTGTAGGTGGTTTTTTTTTTGGGGGGGGGGGGGGAAATGTTTTCTCTGTAGGTTTAGCAGTTGGGTTATTTATGAAAATACAAAAGTACAGGTATTTGAAAATAATAACCGTAGTAAACTTTGACATTTGGAAAATTCTTATCTAAAACAAACTTAAAGGCCAAAGTATACTGTCCAAGAATGTTTGAAACAGCCGCTCATTAAATAAATCGCACACTTCATTTCCAACACTAATTTTGAAGTGCTCAACTTCTCTTAGAAAAGATTATAGAAAATTAAGAATAACAGTTCATCGAAAGAAAAATTAACTTAACATACAACTCCAGATGCAAGTTACTTTTGCCTATTATTTAACTTTTACAGTAATTTTATTTTCAAACACTAACACTCAATTTTATACATTTATAAAAATTTTGCAATTATTGTAATTTTTGAAAATATAAAAAAAACGCATTCAAAACGTTTTAGGCCAAGCCTACAAGGAACACTGGCATAAAATGTCATTGTGGTGAGAGATTTTTCTTCGTGTTACTTTGTGAATGAAACTTAACCTTTGAACTTTTAAGTCAGCACAGTACTTAATTAATTGTATAGACCATCATGTGGACCATCTTGTTACACCCGGGAGGGTTAAGAGGGGGGGGGGGGGGGAGAAGGTCAGTGGAGTTAATCCGGGTGGAAGTACCCTCCCTCCCACCCCCAAGAAATGCCTACCTGTAAGATAGTGTGGTAAACTAGACGTCCGACAGGCTAGACTTCCGAAAAATTAGACGTTTGTTGTTGTTTTAAAAGCCGCTTCATGCGGTAAACTTGGACTTAAAAACACAGCAAGGCATTGAGTACATCACAAGTAAAGATTAATATTTCCATTTCAGCATATTGAAAATCTTTTCGATCGTTGTTTATTTTAAGTAAATGTTTCGCTATTTATTTTTCTATTGTTGAATTTCTTTTAAGTTTTCTATTGTTTTGTGCGTTCCATTCAAGTGCGCGCAATATGTTGCTCTAGTGCATTACACGCTTTACACAGGTTGAAAATTTTTATTTACGATAAAAATAATCGATTTGATATACTGAATTAAAATTGTGTCCAATTCTCCTGACGTCACTAGACTTTATACGGTCAAGTTCCGCTTCTCCGTTTGTACTTTATGGACTGAATACTACAATGATCTATATGCACCGGAATACCACAATGATCTTTACACACACTTGACATTGGAAGTTTTTGTAGAAGGTTACAGATTTTTTGTGTGTTATGAGGATGTAAGGATAATGCCATTTTTATTCAGGTGTGGTGTATTCCAAGGTTTAAAAAATATAGGTCGTGATATTTTGTAACTTCGATCTATCCTCAAGTGATCTAGGAACATACTTGTTTATCTTTATGTTTGACCCACTGTCGAACTTTGTATTTGTACATGTGGCAAGTTGCTATATTTACGACTGTTTTTTGTTTTGTTTTGCATCCACCTCTAGAGTTCTTTCCCCTCTTGTTGTGTAATGTTAAGAGTAAAAATAGTAACACAGGAAACACGTGACGTGATTTGTTTGATTGTCTATGTCCGATATAGGAGAACCTGACAGAAGAAACAGATGTTCTAGGTGTTTACAACTTGTATAGGCTAGTTACCGCTGGAAGACAATGGTGTGTGATGGTATTTTGTAGATGTAGCGGATAGTGGGTGATGGTATCTTGTTATTGTAGAGAAGGGTGGGTGATGGTATCTTGGGGTTGTAGAAGATGGTGTGTGATGGTATTTTTTGGAAGTAGTGGATGGTAGGTGATGGTAACTTGAAATTTTAGCGGATAGTGGGTGATGGTATCTTGTTATAATTAAGATGGTGTGTGATGGTATCTTGGGGTTATAGAAGATGGTGTGTGATGGTATCTTGGGGTTATAGAAGATGATGTGTGATGGTATTTTTTGGATGTAGTGGATGGTGAGCGATGGTATCTTGTTATTGTAGAGGATGGTGGGTGATGGTAGTTTGTTATAATTATGATCGTGTGTGATGGTATCTTGGGGTTGTAGAAGATGGTGTGTGATGGTATCTTATATATCGGTGGCTTCATTATTGTCGTATTTTAGAATGCTCACGCCGATGGGGAAAATCTCGAGCATTTTAACGTCAGAAACATGTGGTTTCCTGGCGAATTCGACGTCAGGAATTAGAAAAAAAAGTTCACACTCATTTGGTACCTTTCATCTCTTTTACATAAAATTAAAGTTACCTTTTCAAGCCTGACTGTCTATATGGCAAGTGAAGTAGAGTTCACCTGTTTCTGTGACCTCGGCATATGAAGGGATAGTGTGGTCGGCACTATGCCCCTAACATGAGTTGGGTGCCCATCTGAGTTGGGTGGACTCAGGGACGTTCTACTAACTTGAGCCCGGAACTCGAGACTTACGGGTTAGCAGTCCAGCTCTCCACCACAAGGCCACTCCGTTCCCCCATAAGTCTGGGAGAAGAATTGTCAGTAACGGGTTTAAAATAACACCGTTATTCAATGTAGGTTGACGATATTCTAAAGTTAAATCGTACGAACTCAATTTGTTGTTTAAATCTGTGGACTAATGTCTAGAGGTGAGATCTATAGTCAGCGATATTTCCCTCATCATAGCTAACCTTTAGGCTCGTGAGCCGCACGTGCGAGCAATGGACGCCATAGGGTAGTGCATGCCATTGCAGGCGCGCTGACATTTGATGACTATCTCTGGGTCGCGGAGTCTTAGCATGGGTGTGGGAGTGTTTGTCTCTTGGTGTGTGTGTGTGTGTAGATGTGTGGGTGTGTGTCTCTTGGTGTGTGTGTGTAGATGTGTGGGAGTGTGTGTCTCTTGGAGTGAGTGTGTAGATGTAAGGGAGTGTGTGTCTCTTGGTGTGTGTAGGTGTATATCCCCGTGTGTAGATGTATAGATGTGTGTGAGTGTGTCTCTTGGTGTGTGTAGGTGTATATCCCCGTGTATAGATGTGTGGAAGTGTGTGTCTCTTGGTGTGTAGGTGTATATTTCCGAGTAGGGATGCGTGGGAGAGTGTGTTTCTCGGAGTGAGTGTGTAGTTGTTTATCGCCGTGTGTAGATGTAAGGAGTGTGCCTCTTGGAGTGAGTGTGTATGTGTAAATTCCGGTGTGTATATGTGTGGGAGTGTGTGTCTCTCGGAGTGAGTATGTGTATATCCGCGTGTGTAGATGCGTAAGAATGTGAGAGGGTATATCTGTGTATAGTTGAGATTCTCCATAATTATGTGTATGTAGATGCGTGTATAAGTAGCCTAGTAAATGCTAGCTAATGCAATCTTCATGATGCAACTTACACTTAAATAAGCAATCAATTTAACACTATCCTGATATCGTCGTCACGCCTCTTGCTCTAGAGCCAAATATGGGTCTTTTTTTCTTGAATGGGAATTTCTCACAAGTAGTTTTCGGGCAATATTTGTATAGGGACATACGTTTATTCGGGTATTTGTCGCAGCAGACAAACTTCCATTTAGGTGAAAGGTTTTCGGGCTAAAACTTTCGACATGTTTCCATCTTATCCTTAGGTTACACATTTTACGTGCTCGGCAACAAAAACAAATAAGTTTATATTCACTCGACTAGCAAAAGTCAGTGTTTCTTCCAGACATTTTTCTCCGGGGGTGCACTTGATATTATCAGGGGGGGGGGGGGCAACATTTTCCGGGGGGGGGGGGACGACGACGACACTGGGAAAAGTATATGTTTCCTATATTTTTAAAGTAAAGCATTTCTTCAGTACAAAACCACTTGTCTTTCTTCTATCCCGGTCACGTGATTATAGCACGGGAGATAAGCCATTTTCCCCTTCTCTGCAGAAACCGCATAATGCCTGTAAAGATGGCTGTCGGCCAACACAACAATCCAGCCTTCTTGTCCCTGTTTTGTTGTTGGTGAGATCTAACCTTTCTCTAACTTGCGCTTCATTACACCAGAATCTACAGAAAACAAATCACCATGTTTCGCGCTCTGATGTGCAAGCATGGATTAATTAATTGGCAAACAAGT